TGACTTAGCACAGCTTCCTTCTTCTTCACGGCATTTTCTTTATTGGCCGGGAGTAGATTTTCTCTTGGCATTGGTTGCGTAAACTAATTTTCCATGTCGTCACTCGATTGTTTTAAAAGCTAACTTTACTTTGTTGCCAAAGTACACACACACACACATTGTGGAGCCGCCACTCCCCCACACATATATGGATCATAGTAAAACATTTAAGCCTTTCAATTGGCCGTGCTGAGATGCAATTTGTCAATGCAAGTGCCATCGACCCTTGGGGCATTGCTTCCAACTGTTCGATGACTAATGCAGTTTTTGTGTTGCCGGTTAACTCCTGGACAGGAGATGGTTTTCCCTCTTTGGATTGCATTCAAGGTACTGACAGCACGAGTTACTTTCGATGTTGTAAATGGAGATTTGCCTGCGAAGTAAGCCATGATTCTGCCTGAACTATGTTAAAAAGAGTTATTAGCTTTTCCATTTGGACTTGCATAAATATTTTAGTTAACTTAAAAGTGTAAAACTACGAAAAGTTTTAACTTTTAAAAGGAAAACAGGAAACAAACAGTGGGAAGGCTTCTTTTTGATATTAAATATATAAAATTTAGGATCACATTTTCCCCATAAGCTTGATACATATTAAGTTTGGAAACTAATTAGCAACCTTCCTTAGTCTCTCAATAAAATCAAATCTCTGTGCGTTACAAAGACAAAAGATTAAGGCAACTGGAAGCTGAGAACTATATAAGCCTCAATACAAATATCCTCGATTTGGTATCCTTTTAAGCAAGGATATTTGATCGACTTCCCTTTGCGCCACACACACACACACACACACGACCGCACATTGTTGTGTGTGACTTGAGGCACGGGGAGTGCGTGTGTGTGTGGCTGCCACAGACATTTCCGCAATGTATTTTGACTTGAGGCATTTGCCAGATGATGGATAATGGCATTCAATTTGCGGAATTGCTCGGCTCGAGTTCGATTCCTTGGCTGTGTGTGAGGGCGTCCTTGAGCTGGTAGCCGTAGTGTCTGGTCTTAAATAGTTACGTCAATTAATTTACAACGCATTGTGTCAGTTCTCGTTGTCGTGTGCATTATAAATGATTTGTAGGGCTGCCTTTTGCTGCCATTCTTGCACCTCCCCCCTCTTAACTTTGCGTGTTCATTAGCTGTCAGAGGGGGTGAAGAGGGTAAAGCATTTTATGGGTCAACTGCTATGACCTCGTTTGTGGGTTAACCCTAAACCTTACCCAAAGCTAGCATATTTCGATTTCGAACGGAACGGAACAGGACGGCGACTGCTCTTCAAACTATTTGCAGTGGCTTGCTAATTTTCATTGCCCCACTTGAGTGAATGGCATGATCCCAGCCCCCCCCTTCAGCCATGCCCACAAAAACCTCTTTAAATATTCATGGGCCAGAGAGTTGAAGTCGTCGAGTTAAATGACACAAACCCCCCCACCTCTCGCAACCAGTCGCGCGCTCTCTTTCTCTCTTATCAATTATCAATTAACCTAAATTTTAGCCTTTTGCGATTTTGGCACGGCCAATGACAGTCGTGAATTCCCCTGCCCTGCAACCCCGCAGGATTTCCCGGATGTCATCTGAAGTCGTCGTATGTGCCAGCTGAGAAGCCGGAACAGAATCAGATGAGCAACGAAGATGGAGCGTTTTCCAAACGGAAGCTGACAGCCACCATCGCAGGTGACTGGCTGGCTGGCTGGATAACTTTCTGATTAGTGTGAGAGCACTTTCCAGCTGTTGAGAGGTGGCTTTTGCCAAAAGTCGACGGGGGAATTGGCAAAGGGATTGATTTCAATTAAATCATGTTATTGCCAAAGGTGGCTCTCAAGGGGTTTAAAGGAAGTTAAAGGGAAGTTTAAAAGTAACCAAAAATATGTTTTCTTGCGTGAAGGAAGCCTCTTTAACAACTCTTAAACAAAATTCCAGCTGCTCTTATTTTTCTTACCAATTCACTTTCCAAAATTGAGTTTTCCGAATATTTTCCCTACAATCTTGTTTCGTGTTAGTGCGCTCAATGAGGAAAGAAAACAACCACGAATGCCATTATTTTGACCGCATTTATATGCGAGGGCGTTGGTGTAAGTTTTCCAGACCTCTTGGCTCTGACGACCCTTGACAATAATCATTTTCATTACTGTAAAATGTCAACAGTGTCAGCCAAGTCCCCTCGAGCATCCTTCTCTTTGGGCCCCACTGCACTTCACTCCACTCGACTCGCAGGACATGTAGCTGGAAATTTGATGATGCAGCAGCAAGCAGTTCCGAGCAGCAGGAGCAGCTGCTGCTGAGATGAGATGCTGTGCTGTGACGAGCAAAAGGATTCTTCTACATTCTCCATTGCAGCCAAAATCTAAAACAAACAAACCAAACTGAGCTGCGTTCTCTTCAAGGAGCTCTTTCAAGGCGAAACATTGACAAAATTCCACTAGGTGCGCCCCGGGGCGACATTTTGCAGCTACTTTTGCTTCACCCGCATCAGCCTTTCCATGCCCCCATGCCATATCCTTTGGCTATGGCCAAAAAAGACTGAAACCAAGAAGGAGATAGTAGCGACGTCTAGAAGACGTGCATTTGCTCAAGTGGAAATGAATTGAACTCGGGCAGCAGCAAAAGCAGAAGCAGAAGCACCAAAAGCAAAAGCAGAATGCAATCTCATTCTCTTGTCAACTTAACCTCGACTGCCAGGATGATGGCATCGAGTCGTCGATGACGCCCGGCTGTGCCATTTGTTGTTGCTGCCCATTGTCGTCAGAGGAGCAGCCATTTGGAGCGCACAGTGGTCCTCAAATAAATGAGATAGAAATGGGAAATTACCTAGATAATTGGTTAGTGGAGTTGGTCAAAGAGAAACAACTTTGGAGAAGAGATTTTCCCCCAGAGCTTTAACGGCTCTTTGTCTTTGGGATAATCATCAAAACAAGCTAATAAACATGTTTTCTTTAGAGCAGGAAAATGGGAAAAATGTGGAAGTTGGCTACAAATTTAATAAGTAAATATGGTATCTTACTTTTTTAAAAGTTAATTAGTTAGTTTAACAAAAAGAAAACAGTTTAATTTAGCAATTAATCGTTTAGAACTAAGCAAACTTTCAGACTAAGACAGTTTACTATACCTTTGTTGGGGTTTTTAAAAGATAAACTAAGTTAAGTTTTGAAAGTTTTCTTCTTTTCCTCACTTTTCCTCACTTTTCCTCACACCACATTCTCTTTCTCTGCCTTGAATTGAACTGTTCTGAGAAATGGTTATAAGATTTCTCAGCTCAATGGAATTTTATCTGCTTTGATATATCTCTATGTGACCACTGTGTGACTATTGTTTGTGCGTCTGAGTTGCCTTTGCTGCTGTTGCCATTGCTGCTGCTCGATTTTTTCTTTAAACAATGGCCCGAGCATTTTTGATTGTCAAATGTTTGCCGAGATAACATTTACTATAGCGGATTTTCACTGGAGCGTAGGAGAGATGGCATTCCGATGACAGCACGGCAAAATGGAGCGAGTGCTGTAAGCGTTGCTAAGCTGGTCTTCTGTACGGAATATATATATATATATATAGTATATACTGGGGTGATAGCATCAATTTGTAATGATCTTATAAGTGCTTGTATTGTGCCTTTGTCTGCTGGGATTCTTCCTTCCTTTCTTCCTGTGTGCGGTTTATAAACAAATGTCTCGGAAAAGTTTCCGCCAGTCAATTAAACGGCAATTAGAGGGACTTCATTCTGTGTGTTTGTCAGCATGGCAAGTTTTTGGGAGTTAAGAAGAGAGTGAGAGGGAGAGCTGAGGGGGGAGTGTCAAATTCACACTGCTCCGCATTTCAATTAAAAACCAATTTCCCTGCGGAAGTGCTTAATTATTGGATATTAGCCAAGAGCTTGACTCAGTCAAGGACTCTTGACACCCGATTCTGCAAGCTGACAAACAATTTCCTGGAAGTTGATCGATAGCTGCTGCTGTTGGCATTAATTGAATGCTCTTTGAATTTGGAAATTGGATAATATCTGATATATATGTGATATCTGATAGATATATATAGAGAGAGAGAAAGAGATGTGACATATTGTTGCCTACTTTCAGGCTAGTTACGTAGTCCAACCATGGCGTTGTTACGACGTGAAACGTGTCGGTAATACTACTCTGAATTTTACGCTAATTGAAATTGCAATCGAATTACTTTGGCAGTGAGACTGCGGTAGATGGCATAAAGGCCAATGAAAATATAATCACATTTATGCAGTTTTTATGCCAGCAATGTAAATATTTTCGTTGTAAACATGTGAATGGTGAATGGGTGAATGGCGAGTGCTCATCCTGGGTATTACGAGTATGACTGGCCCGTCAGCGACAGCCGTTGGCCATGGCTGAATGACCATAACGTCACATACACATGGAGATACAAATGGGAGATACAGATACAGAATATATATATATATAGGGAGAGAGATCCAGAGTCCTTTTGGCCTGCACTCGATTCCATTTCGAGTTCATTGAATTTGCGCATTTTTCCTCGTCTTTTTCGAACGCTTTCATGCCCCCGTGGATAGAGTGCATTAATGAGAGTGAGCCATACAAATCGTAGCGTGAAATTTATGAAATCAAAATCCTCACTTCCATCCATCCATACACGAACTGGACAGGATGTAGGATAAATGTATTTTTTGATATATAGTATAATTGCATTTTCTGGACGAATGCCTCGTTGCCCACTGATTGCGTAATTTAATAGCTTTAACATGGCTGAATAATTGGTTTTAGGTAATATCGACTTCAGCTGTTACATTATTAATGCGAACTCTGAAGAGCAGCGTTTCCGCTTTTTCGGCGGAAATTCGCTTGAAAATTCCTGTCACATTCGGTACTAGTAGTCTTCTTCCTATGATAAATGATATATGGCCTACTAACAGATGTGTGTTCGTTTGCGTTGATGTCACGTCCTGATCATTAATTATGTGAACTTGTTTTTGCTCTTGTCTCTATTTGCAGTTCAGCGAGCCGGCGGATGGATAAAGGTAAACAAACAAACTACAAATAAAAAAAAACCCTTCGCTCGTATTTACGACCCGGGCGTGTCGAATTTGACAAGAGGAGCCGTGGCCCAGACAAGCATAATCTCTAACAGGCGGGGGGGAAATGATTAGTCCAGAAGGAGACAAGCTAACCAGATGACCATCTGACCTGATGCCCTGCAGACCAGACCGACCGCACGTAAGCCAGTGGCAAAGTAAAACTTTTAACGAAAACTGACAACCGCAATGACCAAAGTGTCATAAATCCATAAATCCATAACCGAGCGTCAACAACATCAGCAAACAGTTTGTTGTACGACCTACGACATGTGACGGCGCTCAGGATTCCCCACACACAGAGAGAAAAAAGCCAATATCAGTTTGATTTATCTTATCACTTTGGTTATGCACTTACCACAAAATAACTGTTATCTTATCAGTTTGATCAATATCAAGTGTAGAAATAGCAAATATTTTGTGGTTATGCTGAAATCTCTGGGGATAAAATAACAATAAATGTATAGCCGAAAAATAGGCTATTATGCGTTAGCAATAATCTGGAATAATCCATTAACAATGCTGTAAATTCAGGGCTTAGCCTTGTCAACTTCAAAAGGTTATAAAAGTCATGAAAGCCAGTACTGAGGGCTTTTATTACATGCGCTAAAAAGTATGCTAAAAATATTTCTAAACCAAATTTTATCATTATTTCTTCACTTTACGAGCTTAGTTACCTTTATAACTACTTTAAGTTGCAAAATCACACAAATTGAGAACTTCGAAGTTACTTAGTCTCCCTAAACCTTTAAAACTTCATAGAAATACTATATCCCCCTCAATCTGACCAATTTAGTTGCCATTTTTCACTGTGCAGAGACTCCAGACCCTCGGGGGAGTGTCAGCTCGGCGGCCAATGAACTAAATAACCCTCAATCGGGGAATCGCTAAAGGGGGGGTAGGTGGCGCAGTCACTAGACAGGCGGTACACGACATAGTAGCGGGCCAAAAAGCTCTCATGTCAACCGCAGTCAGCGGACTGGCAGACAAACATATTGACGGCGATGGATTCGATGGTTCCATGCCACTCGAATCTCGTCTCGCGTCTGCCAGATAAAATGAAGTATATCACAAGCTGGTCGATGTGTTCGATGTTTGGTTGGATGTTTGAACCGGGGTCATGTGTGTGGAAAAACAAAACACTTTTCAGCAGCACAACAACAAGAACTTACATGGCGAGGGGTGTAGGGAGGGGGAACAATATTGTTTGTGTCGAAGTTTATCGATAAGTTGTCGTCGTCGTCGTTGTAGCTCCCTGAAAATCGCATCAGCAAAAAGCAAGAAAAAAAAAAAGAACGCACAGTGTCGCATAAATTAAATTTCCAGTCGCCGTCGACGCATGGCCATAAAAAATCATAAAAATATATTAAATTTATACGTAGTGCTTACACATAAGATCGCTATGAATTCATAAATTCTCGCCGAGCAGCCGCCGCTGCCATCCTCATCCGCATTCCCGGCCACAGGCAAAACCGTGGCCTGGCCACAACCACAGCATAACAACGGCATTGACAGTTAAATGAATGACTATGGGGGCAATGCCGTAGTCGAAGCCGAAGCCGATGCCGCTGCCACAGCCGATTCTATAGCCGGAACTGAGGAGAGTCCTCCTTGAGCTCTTCAGTTCCTGCTGCGGTGTCTGTGCACTGAAAGAAATCAAATAAAAAATGTAAGACAACAACTTCTATCATAAAATAAATAGGCTATCAAAGCAAGATCTAACTTTTTATATCAAAAATTTATAAATAAATTTATATTTATATTTAAAAATCGTAAATAATACTTCTAAAATGGTTTTTGTTAACCCAAAGATGTGCTAATTGCTTTCAGAACTTTGTTTATTAGATTAGAATGTGTAAATGAAGTTAGTTTTTTGACTTAAGATAAAAAGTTAAAGTTTTTCTTAGAGTGGCAATGTGGATGTTAGTTGGTCCGCCTGTGGCTCGTGCTCCTCCATCTTGTTTTGCTACGTTTTGTTTGCTTGGCTATAATTTATGCAAATCTGTTAAAGTTTTGCCGTCATCGGGAAAGTTGCCGCTGTCAGTGGCGCTGCATAGTTTTATGTGCTCCCTCGCAATTGTAGGGGGACCACAACAGTGTATATTCAATTTGCGTTTGTCTCGTGCGACGACGAGGATGAGGATGAGGATGAGGATACGGATGAGGACTCTGGGAATTGAATTGAACACATCAAATCTGGTATTCTGATTTCGGTTTTCTTGCTGTTTTCTTGTCATGTGGCTGGCTCACAGAGCCAAGAAATGGAAAACAAAACAAAGTTGGTTATAAGAAAATATGACAAAGTTCAAGATTTGCATTTGATAGAGTGCTTTGGGGTATAAGGAAGGGTTTTTGGTTTTGAAAATTATGAAATTTATAAAATATTATTTTTTATTTCCAGCTAATAGGTATCACTGTAGTCTAGTAACTGCCTTTTTTGACCCCCCTTCAGGACTTTTTGTTGCCATCATTAGAGTAATAAATAAAATTGGATTCCCGGTTCCGCGAATCCATGCATATATAAGTGCGTACAATAGTTTTACCGTTATATCCTTGTTGTTGTTTTTGACATCGTTGACATCGGAACAGTTTTTCACCGACTTGGAAGAGGGTCCAAAGGTCCAGAAGGGGGCAGTTTTTAATGTTTTTATGCCGCTGGCAGTTGTTTGAGCTTTTCCCGGACCAGCTTTATATTTATGCAAAGTTATGCGGCTTAACAGATAAGTCGGCGAAGTTTTTGCCCACAGCTAGGAAAGGGCCTAGATATAATGGTCGGTCAGGATATTGGCGAGTAAAGCAATCGAATGCTACCAAGTCCTAGTGAAACTTCGTGCTTGATTTGCATGAAGAACAGATTGTGGTGTCCATGATCCATGGTATTTCCAACTATATATCCTGTTGGATGGATGGTCCATGCCTTCTAGTTATTTATGTGCGGCAGCCTATGGCCCTCCTCCTTCTTCCCTTTACTGCACTTTTAATTTCACATGACAAACTGTTCCTTCCTCTGGCATTCTTCTGAAATGTGGGACAAACTTTGGCCCTGCTCTTGCTCTGGCAAACTTGTTCTACGTTGCGTATACGCAACAAAGGAACTGCCACAGGCCCGCAGGACTATCTGAATACTAAGTAAAGGGGCTGGAGCTCTTTCTCTATACCGCCCAAACACGACCATCTGCCACTCTAGCTAATTCCAAATTATATTAAAAACTTTTAGCTCTGTGTGTTCCTCCTTTGCCTTGCTTTTTCATTATCTGGCCAACAAAGAAGACCAGCCTGGCAGGAGAAAGGATGAATATGAAAAATTGCTAACAAACTACGAGTGTACCAGCCTGGTTCAGGAATAAACTCACTCACTCTCTCTCTGTCCTCTGACTGTCTTCCAAAAAACGCGACCCGGTTTAAGGTCCAACGCTATTTGCATTGTCCGCTTGTTGCTGCTGCCCCCAAAGAAAAGTCGGGAGATGAACTGAATTACCCTTTTAGCCTGGACCCCCATTGTACACGGGGGCAATGGCGTTTTGTAATTCGACACTGGGCCACAGTAATCTTCGGCATTAGTTGCACTGAACTTCATTTGCCCACACTGGCAAGTTGAGGTAGCTCCGAGAAGCAGCCACGTGACGGTTCGACGCTCATTTAATACTGGCCACAGACGCCAAACAAGCTCGGGGATTGACTACACAGGGGAAAATCTTCACGAATCATTATAAAGCGAAAATGTTTAAATAATGAACCTTTAAACTATAACTTTCATAGTTCATTATAGTTAAAGTTATAATTAGTGTGATAAGTTTTTAAGTCCCTTAACTGGCTGAAGTTTTTCTTCTGTGCATGCAAACAAAACGACAAGCAAAAGCGTGGACTACGTGCCTTTCTCACATTGATTTTCCACCCATTTTCCGCCTTGCCTTCCTTCCTGCTACTCTTCCTTTCCACCCCTGGCCGGCAGCACTTGACTGACCTCTTAAATTCGTTTAATGTTTAGTTAGGTCGAGCTTAGGCCCGTGCCCCGGCTGACAGGTCTCGCTGACCTGGCGGCTCCCAAATTAATGGCCGGGCTGAAGTGCTCTAAATTTTCCATTTTTTTTGCGTTTTTACCTGGCGCACATTTCCTCTTAATGAGTTTTGGCCCTGCAGTTTTGTATTAAGTGTTCTCGAAATGTAATTATGCGATTTCTGGGAGCACCCAGCACCCCAACTCTCGTGTATAGGGCCAGCAGTCATCTTTATAGACATTTATTTAATAAACTCGCATCCGTGCAATGGCCCTCTCTCGCTGGTGCCATGAAAAATGCAATTAAATACTTTCGGCTATTAAAATAAAAACTTTACTTCAGCCCGCCCCAAAAAGTAGGCAACGGCTGCCAAAAGAGGTTGGGAGAGCAAGGTCGGTATGTGGATTGGCGAAGGGGGAGGGGTTTGTTTTTTTTTAACCCCCCCGGATGCATTCCGCTCTGTTGCTGCAGTGGTCGCCCTGGTGTGACCTAATAAAAAAATTATGCCAAACGAAAGTGAACGCCCAATGGCAGGGAGATGGGAAATGGGGAAAGGGAATGAGCATGGGTTGACCCTGTGCAAATTTTCACAACCGCCAGAAGGGAAAGTGAGGAAAATGAAATAAACGAACTGTGGAATGGCGGCGGCAGCCATTGGCCGATATGCACACTCAGCACTTATGAGATATTAAGTTGAAAACTTTGCCCGATCTCATCCCATAACATTGTGCTGTCTTTGTCGATGCCTTTGGCTTTGCCACTGCCACTGCCTCTGCCTCTGCCACCGCCATCGCCTTTTATGCAGCCTGACTCAAGTTAAATTGAGCAAAATAATGCGGTCAATTTATAACGAGCAGGCTGCCGCACCACCAGGCAATTGTGGGTGTTGCAGAAAGTAAGAGAGATGGTTGCACGTGAAGAAACCGAGATAATGCATAAATTGGTGGG